ACTTATAGTGCAGTAGAAGGTCCAAGTCCACCGGCTAAATCTACAAACACAGTATCACCTGCTCCATCAGCTGCATCATCCGCTTCAACTGTACTAGCATCTCAACGAGTTACTCGTTTGTTTGCTCCGGAACTGGCCAGTTCCCAAGCTGCCTTCACACCTAACACTACTTCTGAAGCACTGCTGACACAACAGGACTTGGCAAGATCAGATGAACCTCATGAGCATCAACACCAAGATGGTACCTGACCGAGTCAAGTTGCAGTTGCATGCTCCTTTATATGTACTCTCACAGTTTGATGTACACTAACACTTTCCATATTCGTTGTTGAACTAGCACCACGACGCAAGCGGAAACAGACATCAGGGATAATGCTTGACAGATTAACAAAATCTAAAGGAGGAAGAATGGAGATCCATTTTGAGGTAGGTTTAAAAAGGTCACGTGATGCTACAGAGTCAGCCAAGTTAGTATCAGAGGCAGCCGTTGCCATTAGGTGTCATGCATGTATCCTCCCAACGTGGATCCAGTACAGGAATGAGAAAGACAATACCCAGTTTAACACCTTCCTTTACCATTTATCCATAAGTAATGTTATTCATCACAATTAGTAATATTGTCTTGCTCTATCCCATACTTTCTAGCTTCCTCCTAATAAGACTCACATTCTTTTTTCCATAGATGAGGTTCAAGTTGGATCCGAAAGATGATGCGACTAAACAAGCATGCACTTATGTTTTTCAATCTTCTCTGCGACAGTATCGGTACCACCTTAGAAAATCTCACTTTGAAGGCAAGGCTAACAATGAAATCGCCCAAACATCCACAGTGGAATATATTACGGATGAAGACTGGACAGCCCTCGTTAAACACTGGTCTGATCCAAAGTATCAGGTAGGCTATATATATTTGATCAGACCACATATTGAACTTGTATTTATGTATGCGCCTTACAAGTGTATATTCTTCTAGGCTAACTGTTTGAAGAACAAAACCAACCGTTCTAAAGTGAAATTCCAACAGACAACAGGATCTCGTAGCTATATTGCACACTGTGAGGCTCTTGTAAATAGCTGACACTTCCTTCTTCTTTTTGTGCCATATTATCGTATCTATATTGACTTGTTCCAAATACAGAGGAAAGCCCGTGCGGACCAAAAAGGACCTGAACCGAGTGCAGTGCAAATCTTCAAGGATTGCCACACCAGCAAGATGACGGGCATGAACACACCAGTTCAAGCCGCTGTTGTAAGTCCTTACTCCTCCTGCATTTGAACTGATTGGTACTGTGATGTGTTCATTTAACTACTTGGTTTGCAGCCAATTTCAGATACTCTGTTCACTTTTATACACAGTTGTCTTAACGTATCATTTCACCTTACATGGTTTAAAAGAGATGAAGGATATTCTTTTGGTCTTGATCTGTAATCTAGTTGTTATGTTCACGTGCGCACACAATGATAAAATAGCCTGTTTGTTTTACATCTGTTTGCCCATGATATGAATGATGTCATACTATGTTCATCCTACTTCAAACCATGTCTCTTTATCCTTAGATGTCAACGAATGTGAGGAAATAGACAATACAGTAGGCATGCTACATGGACATATGTTCCGAAAGTGATTTTATTATGTAGTTGGCACTACAATACATACTAATGTATTACAGTAGTTCACCAAAATAAGTTATGTATAAACATTTAACCTACTTTGTTTGTTTTTATCTCATTAGTAACTTATTTGGTACACTAATCTACAAATTCAAACTTTCAGGAAGCTATGGAACAAATGATTGACCAACCACAACCACCTAAAGGTGACGAGGCTACCACAGGCACAATGTCACCTCTTGCTGTAATGCGTCAGTATCTCTCCACTAACAGTGCAAAAAGCACCTTCCTGCGTAATTCTGGGTTGGTTGTCAAGGTAACCTCGTCCAAATTGCCTACTGAACAAAATCTTCCTACTATACAGAGTGATATATCTGTGCTCCAGACACAAGTCCAATCCCTAATGGACGTCGTTTCGGAAACAAGAATAGTGGTTGACAAATGCCATCAAGATATGAATAGTTTTGAAACCAGACTATCAGACATTCGCTTCGTTGTTGAAGAGCAATGGCGGAAAAAAGGTGAAGATCGTGCTGCTCCATTAGATTCTACAGCCTGAAACATTAGCACTCAGGTCAAATGATCTTTGCTTCTATATATCTGATGGTGCTTTTATCTGGAAGGACCGTAAACTTTATGCTAACATGCCTTTTGTTGTATGGTTGGAATTTATTTTGTTGTGATACAGCATTTATGATGCTGCCATAGGATGCAGTGATTACGATGCTATTTCTGTATAGTGTATGTTTATCTTAGTAATGTATTCGGCCGAAAGCTTCGTAGGAGCCCAACATGCCAACATTTGTCGGGCCCATTCCAATTGGGCTAAAAACGATTACGGGCCGAAATTGGCATGTAGCCCACTAAAAATATCTGGGCCTAAATCAACATAAGCTTTCATATTTTTCTGGTAGGCTTGTGCCCATAGTGGGCCTTTAACAGGCCTAAACATAATTTGGGCCCTCAGTAAAAATAGGCCGTTTACAGGTATAAATATCTCGAGCCCATAAAAAACATGGGCCTTTAATAGACCGAAAGTGAGATTGGGCCCTGATTGTGCCAAATAACTCACTGGTCTTAGCAGGCCGAAATGGTGGCCCATTTACGATGCGGATCTTTGACAGGCCGAAATTCGGACAGGCCGTAAATGCACCGACCTAATACACGGGCCTTTAACAGGCCGGAACTTTGGTCGGGCTAGATTATCGTCATTTTTATTTGGGCCGTTAATGGGCCCGATATGACGTTGGGCCACATATGGCCCATGGTTTTCGTCCGGCGTTAACAGGCCGAAAATGACAACAGGCCGAAAGTGGCCCAAACCTATAGTGGGCCTCTAATAGGCCGAGTGTCAGACATGGCCGAATATGACCCAAATCCTTCACGGTCGTTTATGGGTTGAAAGTTTTGGTGGCCTGTAAATGGGCCCAAATGAAGCAGGACCTTTAACAGGCCGAAAATACACCGGGCCGTAATTCAGCCCAATTACTTAGCGGACTGTCAACGGGCCAGAAGTGACCATGGGCCGCGTTGATGAAAAGTTTAGGACAAGCCATTGACAGGCCGATTTGACAGAGAATGTTGGGCCTTTAGCTGGGCCGGCCCATTATGGTCTGCAAAATCTTGTGGGCCTTTAGCTGGGCTGACCCATTGTGGTCCGCTAAATCTTGTGGGCCTTTAGCTGGGCCGGCCCATTATAGTCTGCAAAATCTTGTGGGCCTTTAGCTGGGCCGGCCCATTATGGTCCGCTAAATTTTGTGGGCCTTTAGCTGGGTCGGCCCATTATGGTCTGCAAAATCTTGTGGGCCTTTAGCTTGGCCGGCCCATTATGGTCCGCTAAATCTTATGGGCCTTCGGTTGGGCCGGCCCATTTAAACTTTATGGGCCATTTTTGGGCCGGTCCACGTGTCAACATATCATAGGCCCATCTCGGTCGTTGGATGAGTGACACCTGTGCCAACCCAGAGCTGACGCGTGGATCCGTCAGCCAATGAGAATTTTACACGTGGAAAATCGGCATTGGTCATGGCTGTTAGCAGGTTATCGGATCCAAAAACCGGACCAGATAGGTTAACGGCGGTTAAGGCATCCCGTTACGGTGGATGCCACGTGTCGGTCATCCTTGACGAAAGCACTTCTATGACGTGCGATTTATCATCATGGAAGTGGACACTTCCGTGATGATAATTTTGGTAATGTCATTGAACACTTCTACGACAGCACATGTATGACTATCTCGATTCTGTCATAAAATCGTCATGGATGTACATGCATGACAGAAAAGGCGACCTACTGTGATAAACACGTATCATCATGAAAGTGTATTTTTTTGTAATGGGAGAAGAGGGGGTGGGTGATGCCATGGAGGGGAGGAGAGGCAACATGGAGAGGAGGGGGGAAGCTTCGCCTTGGCGTGGAGCGGAGGTGTCGGGGAGAGATGGCGACGACAACACTATGGTGGGGAGATGCGATGTGGCAGCGCCCGGTGGCTGGCTGGCTGTGCGAGGAGAGTAGGAGGCAGTTGTGGGGTGAGTGAGTGAGAGGAGTGAACTTTTTTCCTTAAAAGAAAAGGAAAAATGAGCAATTGCTATGAGGTGACATAAGTGTCACATAGCCTAGCAAGTCATTTTTGGAGAGAAGACCATCCAAGTGATTTATTGGTTGCCTACAATTTATTGATTACAAATATCGGGATGCGAATCACATGGTATCATGCAAAATGAAGCTAAAAACAACATTCCTTGCATTATTGTACGCAAGTAAATCTTAGTTTGTAATAGAAATTGCCCTCTATGTACACATCGTTCAATTAGATTTTTCTGAGCTTACATTGCAAGTGAAGTGGACTTCAGTTGCTTTTTGATTGCTATATGTTATCACTTCTATACATGTATTATGCTTATATATGTATCCAGAAAAAAAAATCTATGTCCTGTGGCAACGCACGGGCATTCTACTAGTCTAACTAGATTTGCTGTTGATTCTAGTTTCTCTTTTGCTAGGGATGATGATCCTTCCAGTTTTATTGTGCACGACATTTAAACGATGTAATTGTTTTTCTTATGGAATAAAGTGCGCCATGAAGGCTTCCTATCAAAAGAAAAAGCAAAAACACCGTGTAAATTTATGGATTTCCTGTGCAATTGACACCTTTTTATGCCAATGGTTCTGCTATTTCGAATTGGACCAATGGAGTACAGTAGCTTCGAAACGGCGTCCCTCCGTCACCGCTGAGCCGGACACGTCACCTTCCTAGTTAACGAGCATTCAAAATTCAAAATCTGTGACCGTTAACCCCTTAATCCCTTATAAAACCACGCGGATCAGATCACCAGCCAATCCATCCCCATCACCGCACGCATCCACATCTCTCTCCTCGGATCGATCCCATGGCGACCGCGGCGGCAGGGAGCAGGAGGTGCGGCCGGAGCCGCAAGCCCCTCGCGCCGGTGCTCGACAACGACGCCAACATCTCCGCCGGAAGGGCCGACCTCGCCGCTGCCCTAACCCCGCAACCACGCAAGGCCAAGAGGACGTCGCCGAAGATCCGCAAGGCTGAGACGGGGCAGGCGTCCCCGGTAGCCGACGAGCCGATGGGGACGCCTCCCGCCCAGGTCGACGCCGCCGACGCCCCCCTTGGGAAGGCAGATGTCGCCACGGCACCCGCCTCGACACAGAAGGCGAAGAGGGCGTCGTCCAAGGGCGGCAAGGCCAAGGGTGCGGCGCCGTCGATGGCCGACGAGCTGACGGAGCTGCAGGGGATGCTACAGAGGCTGCGGCTGGAGAAGGAGAAGGCGGAGGAGATGGTGCGGGAGCGGGACGAGGTCATCCGGCAGAAGGAGGAGGAGATTGAGACCAAGGCCAAGCAGCAGGAGCGCCTCCAGGCCGAGCTCAAGAAGATGCAGCGCGCCAAGATGTTTGAGCCCACCATGGTACGAACGTGCAACGATCTGCTTCACTTTGTTTTCGTTTCTAATATCTGTACAAGCGTCCTTTTACCTGGTACAGTAGATTGCATTCTCTGCGATTAGTCTGGATTGAATTTTTCTGATCTGAACTGGACTACAGAACCTTCCTCTCGTCCAGTCTCTTCTTGGCAAGGACCAGGAAGGAGATGACAAAGGCAAGAAGAAGAAGAAGAAGAAGGGAAAAGGCAAGGCCGGCAATGAGAGGAAGAAGCCAGCACCGGCGTACATTCTGTGGTGCAAAGACCAGTGGGCCGAGGTGCGAACCTCGAAAATTGAAACCAAACATCAAATGTTCTCTCTGTCTCCTTGCCTGTCAGGTGTTTGATGAAATGTCTACGTTCTTTTCAGATCAAGAAGAGCCCCGATGCAGACTTCAAGGAGGTCTCGAACGCTCTGGGCGCCAAATGGAAGACCCTGAGCAACGAGGAGAAGCAGCCCTACGAGGAGAGGTACCGGCAGGAGAAGGAGGCCTACCTACAGGTGGTTGGCCAGGAGAAGCGCGAGGCGGAGGCGATGAAGCTGCTCGACGAAGAGCAGATGCGCTGGACGGCGAAAGAGCTGCTGGAGCAGTACCTCAAGTTCAGGCAGGAGGCCGAGGAGGAAGACGGCAACAGCAAGAAGGCAAAGAACAAGAGGAAGAAGGAGAAGGATCCCTCCAAGCCGAAGCAGCCCATGCCGGCCTACTTCCTCTACTCGCAGGAGAGGCGTGCAGCGCTGGCCGCCGAGAAGAAGAGTGTCCCTGAGGTAATCGACTGGCTGTTTCAGGCTCAGTTTCTGTAAAATTAGTTTGTCCGTTGATCTGACAAAAGAATTTTGGCTCTCACAGATTGGCAAGATCACAGGGGAAGAGTGGAAGGGCATGACGGAGGCTCAGAAGGTTCCTTACGAGGAGGTTGCGAGGAAGCAGAAGGAGGAATACCAGAAGCAGATGGAGGTGTATAAGCAGAAGAAGCTGGAGGTGTGCAAATTGTTTGGTTGCAGAGTATTTATTATATAAAAGAAATGAAGATATATAATGTGGTGTACTTTATCAGGAAAATGCGAGCTTAGAGAAGGAAGAAGAGGAGCAGAAGAAAATCCTCAAGCAGGAGGCTCTGCAGCTTCTCAGGAAGAAGGAGAAGGCAGACAACATCATCAAGGTATCTATCCCCAAGTTCCAGATGGAATATCCATCAGCATGCCCGTTATGTAAATTGCTTCATGTGTCGATTTTGTTTTTGATCAGAAAACCAAAGAGAAGCGTCAGAAGAAGAAGCAGCAGCAGAACGCCGACCCGAACAGGCCCAAGAGGCCCGCGTCTTCCTTCCTGCTCTTCAGGTTTGGAATGCTCTTCTTCTTCCTCCTGTCAACATAAACTCTGAACGCAATTTAATACAACATCGTGACATGGCTAACAAACTGTTGCATTTTCTTTTCTATTGCAGCAAGGAGGCGAGGAAGCAGCTGGCGGAGGAGCGCCCCGGGGTGAACAACGCGACGCTGAGCGCGCTCATCTCGGTGAAGTGGAAGGATCTGAGCGGCGCGGAGAAGAAGGTGTGGAGCGAGAAAGCGGCCCAAGGGATGGCGGCGTACAAGAGGGAGATGGAAGAGTACACCAAAGCTCACACCTCCGCCTCCTCCTCGCCTACTGCTACTGCTTAGGGTGGTTCTGTGTTGTCGTGGTGGCCCTAGGTTCAACTGTTACTTCGAGTTGAACTATGAACTCAAGGATTCTCGTCTCTGAATCCTGAACGGCACAGTAGTACTAGTAGCCATATAACCTTCTGGTAGTGAAGTTATTTTCCATATCATGCATGGTTGTTTCAGCAAACTGCATAATTCAAATGCTTGAGAAATCTCAAGTCAATTTTATGGGAGCCGGGGTAGGTGGTAGATCGTCCGAGTTTACATGAGTTGTGTACAGGAACAAAAAGAAGCTTGAACTCGTGGGCAGCGAGCTTTTGCTCCCGCCCCGTGTTACCCAGCCTACTTTGGTACCGGCCTTCCAGGCAAGATGACGCAACAAATACCTTGAACATAATTATACCTTTGAGCTTGGCATTATTTTTTCCATTTGAAGGAAGTGCCACACTGTATTCTCAATTCGCCACGAGATTACGTTACAACAGATGTAAGCAGCGCACTTGGATCTAGGAAAATTAGGGATTCGAATTCGAATTTGGTGAAAAGTTTCGGTAGCTAGCCTCCCATCCACCCACACAGCTATCCGTTTACACCGGCCGAAGCCGTCATCCAGTTCCTAGCCAAATCCAAACAGAGAGAAAGTTGCCCTATTAAACTAACGACCGTGGAATAGTCCTTCAGCCACTTGGGCGGGTTGGCTTCATGTCTGGGCTGTTGGGCCGGGCCTTCTGCTTGAACGCCTCCTCCCGCGCTTGCTTCTCTTGTCGGAACCGCTGCAGGGTCTTGATCACTTGCCGCCAGCTCTTTCTGATCTGCATGTTCAGGGCTGCACTTGGGGACACTGACATCCCCCCTTTCTTGCGAACCGGCTTGACCCTAAGCTGGTGCTCGAGAGAATTGTTACTTCAGAGAGTCTAGGTCTTCCCAGGTGGCAGCTTCGAGAGAACTCCCGCTCCACAAAATGAGACCTTGCGCTATTGTCTTGTGACCCGAAGGCCGAAACCTGCGGTCTAGTATTCGTACTGACACTTGAAGCAAGGATGCAGGAGACGGCAATTGGGCCTGAACTGTTGTGGTAGGGGAGACGAATCATTTGAGCTGTGATACATGGAACACTGGATGGATGTGGCTGGAAGCTGGGAGATCCAGCTTATATGCCACTTCACCAATCTTCTCCACAATTCTGTACGGTCCAAAGAACTTGAAGGAAAGCTTATGATTGGCTCTTCTGACCACTGAAGACTATACATAAGGCTGCAATTTGAGGAACACAAGGTCATCCACAGCAAATTCTCGTTCAGTGTGTTTCTTATCTGCCTGATGTTTCATTCGTTGTTGCACACAGAGCAAGTGTTGTCTGACCGAGTCGATCACCAACTGACGCGAGTCTAGCCAAGACTGAATATCCACAGGAGCAATGGTGTCAGACTCAGAAATCCCAAAGTATCTAGGCGTTTGGCCATAAATGATCTCAAAGGGAGATCTATTGAGAGCAGAATGCCAATTGTTGTTGTACCAGAACTCGCAAAGTGAGAGAGAGCCACTTACTCCATTTGGCAGGGTGGGCACTGATAAAGCACCTCAAAAAAACATTTAATCTGCTGATTAACCCTCTCTGTTTGACCATCTGTCTCATGATGATAAGTTGTACTCATGTTTAATTCAGCACCAATCTTGGAAATAAGAAACTTCCAGAATACACTTGTGAATATGGGGTCTCTATCACAAATGATCAGCCTTGGCATACCATGCAATTTATACACGTTGTCCAGAAAGATTTCCGCAACTTTATATGCATTGAAAGGATGTGTGAGGCCCATGAAGTGGTCATATTTGGAGAACTTTTCAATAACTACCAATATGAGTTGTACTGATAGGAGGAGGGAAGGCCGAAAATGAAATCCATAGAGACTATATCTCAAGCTTTAGGAGGGACTGGAAGAGGTGATAAGAGCCCAGGGTACTGTACTCTCTCAGGTTTAGATTGTTGACATATTATGCAAGATTGCACTTGAGACTTGATGAAGTTTTTCATACCAATCCATCTGAAAAGAGGAAGAATCCTCTTATATGTAACAGGGAACCCAGAGTGGCCACCAACTGGGCTTTCATGAAAGGTAGTGAATATTTTCAGTTGCAGAGCAGAGTCCTGACCAACCCAAATGCAGTTGAGCTTTAGTGTCCTGACTGTAGCTTGCAACAATTTCCTGTAACCAACTGGTCTGAGCACTAGAAATCTGATAAACATGGGTTCCATCAGGAGGTCTCCTAGATAATGCATCAGCAACAGTATTGGAAGTGCCTTGTTTATATTGGATTGTGTAGCTCAGACCTCACAGTTTGGTCAGGCACTTCTGTTGCCAAGGAGTATGTAATCTTTCGTCTTGCAGATGAGCCAAGCTCTTTTAATCAGTCTTGATCACAAAATGGTTGGACCTGCAGGTATGATCTCCATTGATCGATTGCTAGCAAAATAGCTAGATATTCCTTCTCATAAACTGATAATCCTCTGCTTTCAACACCCAGAGCTTTGCTGACATATGCTAGGGGGTGTCCTTGTTGCATTAATACAGCCCCAACATCGTAGTCACATGCATCTGTTTCCACAGTGAATGTTTTTGAAAAATCAGGCACAACCAAGACTGGAGCAGAGGTGAGAGCTTGTTTGAGTACTACAAAGGCTTCTTCAGTAATACTGGTCCACACAAATGGTGTTCCCTTTTTGAGAAGTTCAGTGAGGGGTTTGGCAATAATTCCATAGTGCTTTATAAACTTCCTGTAGTAACCATTGAGACCAAGAAACCCCTAACTTCCTTAACATTAGTTGGAGTAGGCCAATTCTGGACAACTGTTATTTTAGCAGGATCTGTAGATACACCCTTAGAAAAAATGACATGCCCCAAATAAGCAATTTCCTGTTGAGCAAAAGCACACTTAGACATTTTAACCTTCCATTCTTTTTCTTTTAGAATTGTCAGAACCTTGGCAACATGTTCCAAATGTGCCTTAAATGTTTTGCTGAAAACTAGTATGTCATCAAAGAAGCACAACACACATTTCCTGAGAAGAGGAGACATATCAAAGTTCATGGTCCCTTGAAATGTTGCTGGAGCTCCAGTCAAACCCATGGCAACTACAAGAAACTCAAAGTGGCCATGGTGGGTCTACAACTAGTCTCCATTCTCCCTCCTCTTTTTTCTTGACCATAAGGACAGGAGAGGAAAAAGGACTTTTGCTGGGTCTGATCATTCCCAATGAAAATAGTTCTTGAATCTGCTTCTCTAACTCATCTTTAAGCAAGGGGGCAATCCTGTATGGCCTGAAAGAAACTGGTCTTGCACCTGGAATCATGGGAATATGGTGTTCTTGCATTCGTCTAGGAGGAAGGCTAGTGGGAGCCTGAAAAACTGTATGAAACTTGTCCAACAGAGCCTTCATCTCAGGGCATATAGTTTGGTCAGTAGCACACTGAATTATTGATAATGACACAACTGTTAGAGCAAATTCTGAAGGAAGAAGGCCTTGCAATGTCACTGTGCGCCCTTGATGCCAGAAGGATAACCACTTCTGAACCCAGTTTACTTGCATAGGGCTACGCTGGGATAACCAGTCCAGACCTAGGATTCCATCATAAGTAGACAAGAGTTGTAATCTGAAATCTGAGGAAAACTGATAATCACGCCAACTCCACTAACACTATTTCAACATTTGGGAGCATTGTAGAGAAGCACCACCTGCCACAGTAACTGAAACTATAGTTGTATCTTGTACATTCAGAAGAAGAGGAGCAAATGCACTGTCAATGAAGGAGTGGGTACTACCAGAGTCCACCAATAAGATCAAGGCACGGTTCTGAAACTATATTTCCAACTGAAGTGAAGGAGCATTGGGGTCCTTGCCAATCGTTGCTGCTGACAGGAGCATACTATGAACCGAAGTTGTATCAGACTCAGATCTATCTGATTGGAGAGAATCCATGGACTACACATGATCGATCAACTCCTGCACAAAATGTAACTGAACCGTGGACTTGCACACATGATCACGGGACCACTTTCTCCACAGGTGAAACAAAGTCCCTTAGACTCGCGGTAAGTGCGCAGTGCAGACCACTTGTCGTCAGTTGGGGATGTTTTCAGAGATTCAGGCTAACGCAGTTCATTAGTGACACGGGTTTTGGGAGGAAGAGGAAGTGGAAATGGACCAGACCTCAATCCCGAAAAATAATTGATATGTGTCACACCTTCCCCAAGCTCCTCATGCAGCAAGGCTAAATCATAGGCCGAATCAAGATCCTTAGGTTTCTGAAGTGCCACTGCAACTCGAACACCAGGTTTTAGTCCATCCAGGAAACGAGTGGTGTAATGCAAAGTATTAGGAACTTCTTCTAGGCAGACAACTGATCATACAAGTCAGCAAATCTATCCACATAATCAACTACCGTGCTGGTTTGAGATATACGGAACAACTGACGAAGTAACGTCTGATGTTGGTTTCTGCCGAAACGACTCTGCAAGCTGCAGCAAAATTCAGACCAGGACATACGTGGGGATCTGTGTTGCACTGATTCCAACCAGCAAGCTGCTGCACCTTCAAACTGAGATGTTGCCAGTGAAATCCATCTGTGTTGGGGAGTACTCCATAGTTTGAACCGATCTTCACAACGGGTCTGCCATAACCTCGGGTTTGCACCATCGAATCGGGGTAGATCGACACGAACACCAAACGAGAACGTATCAGCAGCATCAGGAAAACCCGAATCACCAACAGGAGGAGAACGAGCACGAAAATAGGAATCACGCACATCTCTGACCGGAGGAGGGACATAAGTGTTATGTGCCTTCCCCCGGTGTTCCTGTTCGACGCCAAGGGAGTCGGACGCAGCACCGCGACCACTCCCAGCCATCCTGGATGACGAGGTGTCGACGTGCCCGGCAGGATCTCGTGGCCGCTCGCCGCGAACTTGCTCGATCTCGAGCGCGAACTCGTCGCGCACGCCGTCCACGCGCGCCGACAAC